TGACGGCACTTTGGTGGTGTACTGTACCGTACACCACACCCGTGGTAATCCTCCTCCTGTGAATTTGAATAGAATAGCTCAACAGGTTTTAACATCGGGTGCAAGCCAAAAAATTGGCAATACTTCCACCCATCCGGACACAGGGAGTCGAACCCGTAAGTGCATACTCCTTCTCGCACTTGCACCAAAGATGACAACCAAGAGAAGGTGTACCACAATACACCATATCCGCGTTGCATATCTTCCTGCAGGCTTGAATAGGTTCGCGATTTTTCAGCGTTGGCAAAACGTCGGGGTCCAAGTCACCTTCTGGGCTTGTTGCGGGAAGAGGCCTCAGGCAGTCGGCCGGCCAGCCTCCAGATTTTTACACAAGCCAACCGGTTCAATATTTGAGCCCGTTCCAGTGGTTCAGGAGTGGCAACAGGCCCGCGCGCTACAGAAAGGACCTAGTTTGAATCCACGACGCAGCGCTGCACCGACGCCAGCCATGGCGTGAAGAGAAACGCGGGCCGGAGGATGCCGAGCACGTGGGAATTATCTCACGTGTCGTTAGCACCGCTTTCCTCCGCTTCCTCCCGCCACGATGATGTCGACTCGCGCCCTCCACAGCCTGGGCTCCCCGATGCGCAAGACCCTCTACTCGCCCTCACTCGGTAAGTCCCCGTCCCCCTTCAAGACCACTCGCTGAATACACCCTTACTTAGCCCGCAACCAATCCCTCATCCGCATCCGCACCACTCTCGCAAAACGGTAAGTCCGCAAGGCGGAAAGTGGATTTCTGGCTAGTATACTAAGGGATGGTACTTTAAAATGAAGGACGGTCCAAACGGAATCCCTCCCCGCCTCCGCGTCGGTCGACATCCTCAACAAGCAGCGTCTCCTGCGCCCGTCGAGCCCGCACTTTACCATCTATCAGCCGCAGCTCACCTGGCTCGCGTCCATCGCCAACCGCGCCACCGGTGGTGCTCTCAGTGCACGTGCGTCCCATCCCTCATCCTGTCTCTCCACGATGTGACGCTGACGACGCACAGTCCTCTACGGCTTCTCCCTCGCCTACCTCGTCGCCCCCGGCACCTTCGACAGCGTGCACGTCGTCGAGTTCGTCGCGGGCCTTCCCGATGCGGCCAAGTACGCCGGCAAGGCGCTCCTGGCGGCGCCGTTTGCGTTCCACGGCCTGAATGGGATCCGCCACTTGTCGTGGGATATGGGGAAATGTGCGTTGCCACCCGCTTTGTTGTCTCTCTGTGCGACGTCGTCCATCTTTGCGTCGGCGTCTCTCTTCTTTGTGTCCGTCTTCTGGACTTTGGCCTCCGCCGTGCCCCTTCCTGGGTTGGAGGCACCAACAGCGGAGAGCGCATCGTCCAATGCCCAACGCTGTATAACTCCATTCGGGCTTTGCTGCCGGCTTCTCCTTTTCCCAAGGGTTCGCGCTCTCCGCGCTGTTTGCTTCCTCGTCTCCCTCCCCCCCTCCCTCCCAGTTATCAATGCAGAATGCTAACGAACGTATGTTGTTTTTTCAGTCATGTCCCTCAAAGGGGTGTACCAGACCGGCTACGCCGTCCTCGCGGGGACCGCCGTCTCCACCGCCGTGTTGGTGTTTTTGTAGTTCAATCAATATAGAAATCGTGTTTCTGCGTTGTTTCTGGACAGTGGGACAGTGGGAGGATCGAGCGAACACCTGGTGACCAAAGGTATTCGGCGCGCGCGTCTGACCTCGCATCCCTGTTTGCATGCCTGGCGCACTGAGGTATTGTGTGTGAGGTATTGTGTGTTCTGACTGGCTGGATTTCTGGTCGTATCGCCGGCGATGACCAACGGGCTGGCGTCTCACAATCCTTCGTCGGCCGGCCTTCTTCAACTACTCCCTGGCCTTGTTTGATCTCGTGCGTGAACATGGCTGGCTGTCGAATTCCTTTGCTGAGTCTCTGCGTGTCTGAGCTTCTGGGAGATCGTTTGACCTCGAAAGTCTGGCTTAACGAGGTCCCTTCTTTTTCGTATGCTGGATCTACTGTGCGTGCTATCGGTGATTTGATGATGAACTCGACGGTGGGTGCAACGCAGATACATTCTCGCGTGCAAACACCCGCCGTGTCGTCCGGCGTAGACTGATCTCATCGAGGCCCATCTGCAAAAGCCGAGGTGTCCTTCCTCTTCGTACTGATAATGAGCCTGGCAGCGGCGCGCGCGACCTCGAGGACTTGAACAAAATGTATTCTGCTAGATTTTCGTTCGCACGCACCGCCGTCCTCCGGCGTGAAGTCAGTCTGTCGAGGCTGGCCTACTCAAGCTGAAGTGCTCGCTCTTCTTCCTGATGGCGATGATCCTCCATGCAAACTCCAACAAAGAAACATTCTTCCGTTCGTGAACACCGCTGTCCTACTACGTACCCGTACCGAACCTAGTCGCAAGAGCGATAGCTCGGACATGGTGCAGGGTGTGCAGGCACCTGCACACCCTTTCTCATTCACTTGTTTCTCTATGGTTAATCCGAAGGGAGCGCGGGGTTCGACTCCCTGTGTCCGAATGCATCGTATGTATGATGTTTTTTTTTCATTGAAAAAAATCCTTAACTAATCATCCCAGTTGCAGGAGCGGTGAATCGGAGACCTTTTTTCGTTATTATTCGATTACCCTGGTTCGGGGTTGTATCCGATCACGGCGCCGGCCTGTGCTCATTTGTTTTTTGGTACCCGATGCTAAAATCTACTCACCTACCGAACCTCCTGACAAGACCAACAGCTCGGACATGGTGTACGGTGCACACCCTTGCTGATTTACCGCGGATTCTAAAGTTGTAGAAGGGAGGACGGGGTTCGACTCCCCGTGTCCGAATATTTGAACAAGGAACATTCTTTTTCTTACATCCGACCCTAAGGTTTTGCTGACCCATTCCGGTTGTAGGATGAAATCGGACTCTCGCTGGGCCGGCGATGGCGAGCATTCCAAAAATCTTCGTCGGGCAGCACCGTGAATCTGATGCGCACCTAGTCCTTCGCCTGCTTCCTTGAGCAGACGCTGCTTCGTCCGCAAAGCAACCAACCTAGCCAACCTCACTGCAAAGACTAACAACTCGGACATGGTGTATGGTGTGCACATCCTTGCTGTTTTGAGGCGGAGAAATAAGAATTTGTGGAAGGGAGGATGGGGTTCGATTCCCCGTGTCCGAATATATTATCGAGGCCATGCTAGTGCGTGATTTTTTACAGCTAAAGTCAGAACCGAAGGCGCGGATGAAAATTTCTTATTTTGGAATGTTTTCAAATAATTGTAAATATCTCGGTCAGTTTTGCACCGATTTGCATAGAAACTAGATAGTTATACTCAGTAAATTCGTGAGCAATTAGTGATAGAGAGGAATTTTGGAAAATATTATGTATTAGGTAATCTGTGTTTTCAGGGCATTTTCACACAAATCACCGTTTTTATATGCCTAGAACATGTCACAAGGGCCTAAGATTTTGCGAGGACCGATATTTATACCGAGGGAAGGATGCGATAGAGCCAGAACCACATGGAATGCTGGGATAAGTGTGATTCTCACAGGATCTTCAGATGCAAGAAAATGCTGAATGCCTTCAATGCAGCTAGAAGAGCGGGAATAAGATTATGTGTAGCTCTGGCTCTATCACATCCTTCCCTCGGTATAAATATCGGTCCTCGCAAAATCTTAGGCCCTTGTGACATGTTCTAGGCATACAAAAACGGCATTTTGCGTGAAAATGCCCTGAAAACACAGATTACCTAATACATAATATTTTCCAAAATTCCTCTCTATCACTAATAGGGGAGTTCACGGTAGGGCACATTTTCGCGTTTGTGAATAGATTTATTCATTTGATCAGATGAATAAAAACCATGGTTTGTGGAATAAAGCCGTGATCACCCCGTTTGAGTTCCACAATATATTTTTATTGACTATTTCCACACCTCACTCTGCTACTCCCCTCCATAATGCCTCAACAAATCAACCACCACTGGACTACTGATGGGGCCCCTGAGCTCGTCACTACTCTCAGCCTCTTGGAGACAGTCACTGAAGACTCCATAGGCAAGGATATCTTCAGCAACAAGACCTCGGGATTAGATGCCAACACCGATTCTGACGACGCAATCAATCATCCAAGACCCGTCAGAGCCAGAAGCTTTCAACCGCTTCCCCATGAGCAGTGATGATTGAGATGGGGCGGGGCACTGGCAACTTGAAGTATATTCCACACAAAAATATGTTTATTCCACAAGCACGATTAAATCGTGCTTGTGGAATATTTTTATTTTGTAGAAATAATTGCTCCCTTGGACGAATATTTATATTCACAAACGCGAAAATGGGCCCTACCGTGAACTCCCCTAATTGCTCATGAATTCACTGAGTATAACTATCTAGTTTCTATGCAAATCGGTGCAAAACTGACCAAGATATTTACAATTATTTGAAAACATTCCAAAATAAGAAATTTTCATCCGCGCCTTCGGTTCTGACTTTAGCTGTAAACCCGGTACAGAAAGTACTGAGAAAATCTGCTCACCTACCCAACCTAGTTGCAAGCCCAACAATATAGTGTACCGTGCACACCCTTCCTCTATCCAAAGATGGAACCGGGATTCGACTCCCGGGCCGTGTTTCGAACAAGTTTCGAATGCCATGCTCCGGACTTTCATCGTTCTTTTTTCCTTTTTTCTTTCTTTCGAGTATCACCCCTCAGAAAATTCACGCGCACGCACCCAACCTCCTGTCAAGAGCGATAGATAACTCGGACATGGTGCAGGGTGTACACTTTCTCATTCAGATGGTACTTCTGATGTTTAATCCCAAGGGAGCGCGGGGTTGTGTCCTGATCTGTTTGCAGGGTTAATTTTTTTCACTGAAAGAAAGGGTATTACCCTGATGCAAAGGGAGTTCAGGTTGTATCCGAACACGGCGCTGGCCCGTGCTCATTTTGTTTTTTGGTACCCGACACTAAAATTACTCACCTACCGAACCTCCTAGCAAGACCACCGACTCGGACATGGTGTATGGTATGCACACCCTTGCTGTTTGGTGACGAGTGAGAAATTGTAGAAGGGAGGACGGGGTTCGATTCCCCGTGTCCGAACTTGTTGCTTCAACTCCTCTTTTTTTTTGCGCCCCAGAAATCGCTTGCCTAAGTACTCAAATTTGTCCAATTCCTTGTCAGTGGCCCCCTTGCTCTCGCTGAATTTGGTGCTCGTATTACTGGCTCGGGCGGCACCGTCCTTCACCTCCTTCATTGGTCCGAGGCCTGCTTTCGTCCGCGACGCGAAGACCCAAACCCAGCCAGCCTCCTTGCAAGACTAACAACTCGGACATGGTGTATCGTGTGCACACCCTTGCTGATTTGCGGCGGAAATCTAAAGTTGTAGAAGGGAGGACGGGGTTCGATTCCTTGTGTCCGAATACATTGTTAACCCATTACAGGTCGTTTTTTTCATATACCCGACGCTGAAAACTTTGCTGACCCATCCCGGTTGCAGGATGAAATCGGACTCTCGCCTGGCCGGCGATCGCGAGCGTTGTAAAAATCTTCAGTGGGCGGCACCGTAGTAAATCTGATGTGCATGCCCTTGCTTCCCTAATCCCGTGTACGAATGTGTCCGAGCCGTGATGATTCTTTTCTTTGTACCCAACCCTCAAAAAATTGCTCACCTATTCAAGTTTATCGGAAAGAGAATACATCCTTGTGGCCACAATTTCTGCCTTTTCATCCAGATTTCCTCCGGCATTTCATTTTATCATATACATGTATCTCTTAACTATGGTCCATTTAGCTTTCGTTTACAGAATAGGGGGTTTCACACTTGATTATTTGGGCCCAACTTGGCCCAAATATTTAACCAAGTTGGACTTGAAGTTGGGTCGAGAGGTGTGAACACCCTTTTCGTGTGCAACTCCCGAGTTGGCAACTTCGACCCAAAGATGCCGGTTTCCTTTCCTTTCTGTTGATTTGTTTTACTTTGTGGAGGGCGCAAGTTCGATCCTCTCACTCATCACCCTTTTTTAACTATTCTCTTTTCTTTCCTCAGGATTAGTAACATCAGCTGTTGAAAAACATGAAGCCCGAGGTTTGTTGTGCTCTGTTCCCAACCCAGATTAAACACGCCGAAAATATTACATAATATTCAGTATCAGTATCGGACACCGGCACCATTATCGGGCCATGGTTTCAAGAGATTTCCGTCCTGCCGGGGGCTCCGTAATCGGCGCAGGTCCACGTTCAGGGCACGCATCCACAGGGTCCTGTCAGAATATGACTGTTCGCGTCAGCCCGAGCGATGATAGTTATCACTTCTTTGTCTAATCCATCGTCTTATTCTTTCCCCCCGCCGTCTGTTCTCTGTCCACTGCACGCGATTAGCTCTTTGTCCCTGTGAGCTTTATCTGCTTTCTAGCCACCTCAGCATATTTTCTGACAGATCCAGACTACCCCGGGCCCCTCGTCCAGTGTTGCGGATTAAGGCCTTATTAAGGGTAAAATTTTTTGTTAAGCCCTTAGGACCCTTAAGTACCTTAATAAGGGTGCCCCTTAATAAGGCCTAATTTCCTAAACGGGAAAATCTACCGAAATTTCCGCAAACGAAGACACACAGAGTTGAAATGGTGCCAGATTTATATGTGTGCACCCTACCATTGACTTCTTTCTCATCCCAGACCAAAAGTTTCCTCATTTCTCCCCAGAAAAATGACTTTTTCCCAATCAAAGCTATAATTATTGACCTATCTACAATGGATGTTCCCATCATTGGAATAAACAGGGAAGACTGAGTTGAAACTGACACCAGGGCCATGTTTTCCTCAGTTAGAAGGACCCAGTAGTGTTTCACAATAACTTTCTGGCCTGAGTGATGGGCCATCATTCTCCCTTAGCATACCCTTATTATGCCCTTAACATGTTTTGGGCCAGTAATTAAGGGTTAATGTTAAGGCCTTATTAAGGCCTACCCTTAATTAACCCTTAACCCTTAACCGCAACACTGCCCTCGTCTCCAGCAATCGATAGTGGTGGCCCGGCGATGCCTCTCCAAGCTCGGAAACCCGACATAGTTAACACTTACATATCTGGTCAGTAGTCACATTGATAAGCCAGCGTCGTCACTTATATTTCCCAGGAGGCATAGGCGGAAATGGTGGAGATGGTGGTGCACAGGGTGGGGGCGGGGGTACTGGGGAGGGTCCCACAATCTATTATGATGGAGAATACACCGTAAATAACTAGTATGTCGTTTCATTCCAATCTTCTCCCGAATATCGTTCTTAAAAACCCTAGCACCAATCAACCAAGTGATTGTGCGTGTGCATCGAGACAGATGATGTCGATTTTTATCCTCTTGCAGTTGTGAAACGCATGGAAATTCTCAACTGGCTGTCCCCAATCAATTTCTTCCCTAAACACACCGACATTTCCCGTTCGCGGCAGGAAGGAACCGGCCAGTGGCTGTTTGCCGATCCCTGCTTTCAAGAATGGAAGTCTGGGTCTGGGATGACACTTTGGTGCCACGGAATTCGTGTGTTGCTCATCTGTGCATCCTCATTCCAAACTAACCTGAAATATGTAGCTGGCGCGGGTAAAACCATTCTTGCGTGCGTCAATTGGCTGAATACTGGCAGCCGCTAATTGTCCCAATAGCTCGATGGTTGTAGATTATCTCCGCGCTGACTCTGAGGGGAACAACATCAGTGTAGCGTGCATTTACCTGAACCATAAAGAAGCCGAGGAGCAAACTCCAGCGAAACTCCTGGCTGCGTTCTGGAGACAACTTATCATGGGCACAGATCTCGGCTCCCTGGAAAAATATATATATGAGCAGCATCACGAGAAAGCTACCATACCGTCCCTCGATGAAGTTTGGAATGTCCTCCGCTCAGTGGTTCTGTGGTATCCAAAGATTTCTGTCGTTGTCGACGCTATCGATGAATACCCGGAGTCTCAACGCCAGGTCCTACTTAGGTATCTCTCGAAAATGGGCCCCACCGTCAACGTGATGATAACATCCCAAGCTCACATTACTCCGGACACCTCCCTCCCAAATCTCAAGATTATAGAGATCCGCGCAACCGAAGAGGATGTTCGGCGATATGTAGATGACCAGATTAAGATGTCGTCACGCCTTTCAAAGCTTGTCAAGAGCCAACCCGATTTGCGGAACAAAATTCACGAAGATATCACCTGCGCTGTAGATGGCATGTGAGTGTTCATGGATGATCAACCAACCTTTTGCGAATAATTCTCGATCAGGTTTCTGCTCGCTAAACTTCATGTTCAATACCTCAGCACAATGGGCACAATCAAAGCGGTTCAAGAGGCCCTTAAAAAGTTACCAAAGAACGTAACTGAGAGCTACGACCAGGCAATGGTGCGAATAGATACCCAGAAAACTGAAGACAGGAAGACTGCTCACTCCGCTCTGACCTGGGTTGCATATGCGCAGCGGCCATTGAGAGTCCGAGAGCTACAAGCAGCTCTAGCGGTTGAACCAAACTCTCGATCCCAAGAATCTTTTAGACATCGAGATAATTCTCTCTGTCTGTGCTGGGCTCGTAATTGTGGATGAACATTCTGATCTTGTCCGGCTCGTCCATTACACCACGCAGAGATATTTTGACAGCATTCAGCAACTTCGATTCCGCAATGCACACACAGAAATAGCACGCACTCTACTCACCTTCCTGGCATTTGACAATATTGCAGATATGTCTTGGGAATATTCGGGAGCCCTACCTCCTCTCCTCAACTATTGCCAATATTGCTTGATCCACGCTGCTGGACAGCCCGAAGAACAACTGGGAAGCATGATTGTAGACTTTCTTTCTCATGCTTTTCGATGGACTAGAACATCCTGGAATCTGCACTGGCACTCACTTCCTTGGTGTTTTTTGCGGTCATCCTCACCCTCTGCCTTGTTGGTTGCGGCAGCAGCAAATCTTCTGAGGACAGCCCCGTCTCTTCTCAAGCTACAGCCATCATACAGGGCTGAGGCCATCATGGTAGCAGCAGCTACAGGACACATCGAGATGCTTCAGTTGCTGGTAGAGCACGGTGCCGGCCTGAATGCAGAATACAAATCTCTTGGCGGCGCACTACAGGCGGCATCGCACACGGGCTAAGAGGCCACCGTTTGCTGGCTGCTGGAGTCCAGCACCAACGTGAATGCAGAGGGTGGAACGTATGGCAGAGAACTGCAGGGCGCCCGGGCATCTATGGCAGCGCACTGCAGGAATGTCATGATCCGGTTCTTTTGGGTCTGACCCCGGACCACTAAATTCCCGTTTGGGATATGATGCGGCATCATCAATCACATCAATACATCAAAACCCGAGACGACTCGATCCCGATCGATGCGTAGGCAACGCTCCTTTATTTAACCCCTGCATTTATACCCCTTACCTTCCATCTTTCCCCTTAACTCCCATTTTGACTGATCGTTGACGCGTAGTTACTTATTAGCAATAATGCCTAGGTTACTCTCCTATAGTTTATAGTATAAGTACTCTACTTGGACGCATGTACTGTATACTATTCTGGTCTAATCTCCAGTGGCTTTATTTGTTATCCCTTTTCGTCTTGTTCTGTCGCCTCAGTCGGACTCAAACCCCAATCACAGGCCTCTGTGCTGACAAAAGAATAGTATCCACATACCGACTACCCGACAGAACGAATGATGACGAGCGGCTTCTCCAGGCCCGGACGCGACAAATTCGTCACCTACGAACCCCCTCAGGCGATTACCCTTCTCTACGAGCAGTCGAGCGTCGCTGCCGGACAGATGGTCACGCTCAGTGATCAGGTCGCCACCTTCGGGACCCAGGTGGACGAATTGGCGAATGCGATGAGAGGGCTGGCGAGCAACGGAGACCTGATCGGAGAAGCGCTCCGACAGCTGGGAGACGCTCGCGCGGAACTGGTGGAAATCACGCAGAAGGTGGGGTCTGGGACCTCCGGAGGGAAGGCGGGAACGAAACACCCGCGTGTCGCCCCCCCCCAAGGTGTTTAACGGTGACTCGGAGCAGGTTGACCAACTCCTCGCGGACTGCTGGCTCAACTTCCAGAACAACCCGGTGTACGAGAGCGACACCTCGAAA